TAGGGAAAAGGGCTAGATTATTTAAGATGTCCTTTCTATTTTTATTTTCTCATTTTCTATTAACCATCTTTGTTTTTAAAAAAACACACTAAAGAGCAAATGCATGAAAAGAAAAACAAAAACCAGAAAACATAAAACGTTCTCTGACAACAGCTGGGAATTCAGCCCTTCATCATGAATTCTGATTTTGTTTTCTGCTACATCACGCTTTGCCAGTTACTAGCTTTGTCATGGTGTAATTTCCCAGAAATAATTCCTGTTGCACTTTGATCTGGCACTCCTGCAGCCTGTGTGGTATGGCATCGCCGCTGAACTTTATTTGACTTCATGTAGTTCCATTGCTTTGTATACAGCATTGGAGAATGATTAAGGAGGGGAATAATAAAATCAGTGGCAATATTACATTCTAATCACTATAGTATTGTGTAAAGACAGTCTACAAAGACACACAAGGAAGTTTTGTAAAAAGAAATATTTAACTCATGGCTGAAAAAAGACCCTTAATTTATACACTATACATGGTGCAGTTTATTTGGATACAAACATTTTCAAGTAGTTTAGTACTTATTTCTCGCATTCTTTCCTGATACATTCTGTTTCACTCTGCTTCATGTGCATCCTGTTTAATCAGAGTAAAAAAATATTTTTGTAGTTAGCAGGATGCTAGCCAGATACTCTCTTGTTTTCTTCACTTCTGATGTTTTGGAAAGATACACATGCATTTTCCCAGAGCACTACTGTATAACTCTCCACTGTAATGGCTTATGTTAATTTTCAAAGGCAAGTGGAACTTGCTGATTCTAATATAGATTAAGGCCAGTATTAAGCTTAAGTAAGGCTCAGGATACAAGAGAAATAATAATAAAGTTATTTCCTAGGACCTTTAAGGTTGGCAATTAAAAGTAGAGGGCTAGGCTTGGCAGAAGTTGGTTCATGACTTTTCTCGGGAGCATATTGATGACAGGTTAGACTAGTTGAGTCAACCAAAGGGGTTAAATTGCTCTGTGGAGTGTCATTTTTTGGTCTATAGCATAGTTACGGCATTGAGATTCATGAACCCTACAAACTGACAAGGATGGCTAATGAGGCAAAGGGGAAGGTAGTATAACAATTTCCAGTACAATATGAGGAGTGCAAGCTAAGTGAAAGACAGAATTAGGTTTGCTTTGTGCGCAGTTGGCATAGATTTATATTTGGTTTTAAAATTAAGAGAGTTTGTCTTGTTTGGCTTATATTTTTCTGTTTGTACCGTGCAACAGCTACAAAGTTAGTTTCAGGGCTAATGAAAGGAAAAGACAGTTGCGACTATTAAGTTCTAGAAGTGGATTTGGTATAAAGAGTAATAGTTCCTTGGTATAAATACATGTATGGCTTGGAATTAATGTTGAGGTTGGGCAAAACAGGAGATTCAGAGCCCACATTACTGATGAGCACCATAAATCCCATGGAGTAAGTGCAAATATGCATGTTGAAAGGGAAAGAAATGCTTTCTCTAAACTCTGTGGATGGGGTTTGTCTCTAGTTTATGCCAATAGCAAGTGTGAGGGTTGGAGTTAGGCTGGGATTTGGGGACAACTAGTGCTCAGGCATGCTTCTCCTCCTCTCATTCTCACTCTGTGAGTGAAACTGTGCTTGGGGCTTCAGATAACCCATGGCTGCAGAGCGATGCCAGTGCAGTGCACAGTGATTTTTGTGACCAGATGGAGTGGTACAGGGGGTATTTCCGAGAACCATGAAGGTCATTCTTTGAAGAGCAGCTGTCTTCTTGCAGGGACTCTGAAATACATTTGCCTTCTGTGAAACTAATGGAAAACATACAAATGTTTATAAATGTATGCAGTGAAATGTTGAGCTTGACAGTTAATGCTGAAAAACTGTTCCAGTTTCAAATGCAGTTCTGCCATCCTTTTTAAAGCTCTTTTCTGTTTCCATGAAAACTGTTAGCCCTTCCTCTCTCCCGTGAGCCCAGTTAGCATTTCATAACTGTGAATAACTCTGTAGTACCTAACAAGAAGGGACTGTAACACCATGTCTTCCTTTTGTCAATCACTGCTGACCAGCTCCAGCCCTCTGTGTCACCACAAGTGTTTGAGGGTTGTATCATCTATCGATGACTGATGTTTCTCATGAGCTCTGGTTATTTGGTCCTGAGCTATGGTAATTTTAGTTTCCACCGTGCAGAAAAGGCTATATTCCTCAGAACATAATAAGATCAGAGGCCTCCTCACAGCTCGTGTAGCATACACTGTTTTTATAGAGAGAGGTGTTTATATGAACCTGAACTGCAGGTTTGGAGATGCTAAAAGTAAAACAAAATCCTGCCTGCGTAATCACTGTTTTTCAACAAGGTAATTGAGAAGGAGGTAGGTATTTTTAAAATATGCCTACACATAGAAAATATAATCTGAAGTTACGCCCAACCGAAGTGGTAAAACAGAGTAACATAATTTGTGCTCTTAAGTTTGTGTTTAATTGAGATGAAATAAACTTTAAAAAATGCAGTTAACAGTATTTTCTTTGAGAAAGCTAAAAAGGACTCAAACTATCTAAAACTATGTATTTTTATCAAAGCCATTTTATTCAAACTAGTTATAAAATTGTAACAGTAAAATGAGATGACCCCTGGAAAGTTAACATGATATATAGCAATTGCTTTGAAACATAATAATTTAACCAAAATGTGTTATTTTTGTAGCGCAAGGTATTTGCATTAGCTACCTATAAAATTTCAGAGGACAACAACTGAGCCTTTACCAACCTATTGACCAAGTGAAAAACATCGCTTCTTATGAAACTCCATATTCCTACTGCTTGTCCTTTAACTGTCCCATAAATGCATTAATTACTACCATAGACTGTATGTTCTGTATGTTTTCTTTCATGTTCTGTATGAAAGAAAAGTCATGTTCCTGCTGGAACAAATTCCCACAGTCCTTGCTTTCTAATAATCTGTTTGTTTTGGTTTTTTTTCATATCCCTTGAGATCATCTTCCTATGATTGTGCTTTGCCTTACCCACATTTCACTTCATGTTAAACTTAACATAAAGAGTTGTCCTTCTCTTCCAGCCCTACGCGGCCGTATACTGTCTGGTGGTTTCACTCCCTCAGAGAGTTGTGCTGAAAAATAAGTGTTCTTAAGCAGTGTTTCCAGGGGGCGAATTAAATGTTTTTGTGAAGGCTTTCAGATGAAAATTAAAGGGCTCTTGAGGAGCAAATACTGGAGGGGAAACCTTATGGCAGATGGAGGAATGAGTAAGAGAAAGTGAATTACTTTGTATTGTAGGCACAAATTACCACGTCTTAACTTTCTTGTTCAGGATTAAATACTTCACAGATACTTCAGCCAGCTGTTATCTCCTGTAGTATTTTCTTTCTGACTCAGTGTTGTCAAGGTGTGGTAGTGTTCAAGCTCAGACATAAGCATTTGACTGTTGCTGAGCAGATCCTGTAGGAAATGTTTCTTATCAGCTAAAAGAGTAACTTAAAAGGGATCAGTTAACCATTAACTGACAGAACAATACATTTTTTTGTCTGTCAATCCTCAATGTATATATTTCTAAATTTGTATGCATCTATATGTATTAATATCTTTACTGTTATTTCTTCTGACACTACAACATAACGTCAAAGAAACAGTATACATATTTGAAGCAGCCTAATCCCCAGAGGCTTTTCTACCAAAATTGCCCCTGGTGAATCCAGTGTATTAGCATGCAAGTAAAGCTTCTGAACAGCTCTGGAGAAGACTCTCAAATGCCATAGGTACTATATCTGGTAAAAGCCGCTTTGCCTGTTACCTTCAGTGCACTATGTGATAATACTGATGGACTTTTCTAGTATCATTAAAGACTTAATGAAGTTCCTGTTACTTTAGGTTGTTGGTTGGTTCACCCTGGAGTGGCTATCCAGCTAACAGAACTGGAGACATCTATGCATGTCCTGTTGGTACATCCAAAAACACATGCAAGAAATTGAACTTACAAGGTAAGTTGTAATGAGTAGTGGTTCGCTACAGTTGCTCAGTTTTTCATCGTTTTTATGCCAGGCCATCTTATTAAACCTTTTCTTAATTATCTCTCTGCATAATCTCAGTCTGTCGTGTGCGTGTCTGTGTGTGTGAGTGTGCTGCAAGGACTCAGTGCCAGCTACTGATGAGACTGGTGTGTGTGTGTGGGTGACAATTGGTGCCTGCCTCTGGAGTCAGCCCCAGCCTGTGGTGCCAGCTACTGCAGCCACTCAGGTCTCAGCATCAGCTGCTGGAGCAACTGGGGTCTTTAACCTCCAGCCATGGGGTGGGACTGGTGTGTCCCCCAAAACTAGCTGTTGGCAGGACCAAGGCTCTGTGCTGGTGGCTGGAGCAGGACTGCAGGTCACAGCCCAGGGTGGCTGGTGCCAGCTGCTGCAGGGATGACTGTCTGTATCTTCCTCAAACCAGGTGTGCGTGTGAGTATTCACTAGCAAACCAGCCAGTTTAGGGGGACCTCAGGTCCAGCTATCGGGCAGTGAGGTCTCCATGCTGGTACTCCCAGGGGGACTTGCGAATGTGGGGTGCATGGGGCACGAGTGTGTGTGTGCTTGCTCAAGCACCAAGCTGGCTAGTAGGGGCAGACAGGGGGGTCCTGCTGGTACCTGGGGGATCCAGAAATGTGCATGTGTTTGTGAACCCAGATAGGGGAGCTGTGCCTGCACTAGTGACCTCTTGTCTCTGCCAGCTCAGGAGGAGCACACTCCTGGTGGGTATGTGGGTGCTGCTGAAGGCTACACCTTGTCTCTAGCAGTCTGTGTGCCCAGCCCTGGCAAGGTCCTTGTTGCGTGTCCATGTGTGTGTCTCAATACATGCTCAGCTTTACTGGTGCCACATTTCTCAGCCTGGGCTGGGCTGGGCTCCCACGGCCCAGCAGGAGAGTCCTGGGCCAGAGCAACTAGAGAAGGCTGCCACGCTCTTATCATAGCTTAACACTTCTTACATTTGTATTTTAAATAGCACTTAGTGAATATGTATTACATGAAGCCTTTTCTGCCTCTGTGTGTTTGCAGACTGAGCATAAAATGGGTTTCACTTTTGGATACAGTGAAAACATGGGGCAGCAGAGCATGCTGAGATGCCTACTTTATTTGTGGTGCGAAGCATTTCGGTCCTCCACTGCTCCTTCCAGGTTTTCGTCTAAAGCCTAGTACTGAATCAGAGGACTCTGCTGTTCTGAGGAATGTAACAGTAGCTGCTCAGCTGCAGCTACTCAGACAGCCAAAAATACTCAATAGGTAGACCTTTTCTTCCTCTCTTTTGCCTTCAGCTGTCTTGAGGGCAAGTACTCTAAATGGCCATACTTAATTCATGTCTGTAGTTAATGGTTAGCAAATTTTTTACAAAGATTAGCTTTTATTTCTTTTGTCTCAGAATTGTATGCAGCCATTTGGAAAAGGCTTCTTAGATTCTTAGAAATCAAGCTTTTGAAAAGGAATTGTAACTTACTAAATTGCTTCTACATCATATTTACTCATCTGTCATTACTTAATCTATTTTTATTTTAGCTTTAATAAAAATTCCAAATGTGACTGAGATAAAGGAGGACATGAACCTTGGCTTGACTCTGATACAGAACTCAAAAACAGGAGGATTTTTGGTACGTATCAATGATGTATTGAGTACACACAGAAATTCCCGAGAAGAATGAAGAAACTAGAGTTCTCAAAAATTTTAATAAGTTCAAGCTGAATGTATTTTATTATGCAGCATAGATTAATACATATTTTAAAATATTCCATCCCACTTTCATTACCTAAGGTCCAAAATCAGGAAAATTATGAATTCTCTCTTTTGTCATTTACCTAAATATCCTGTGGAAGGGTACATAGTAAAAGATTCTATAATTTAAGTCAGACAACACAGGCAAGAACACTTCCACCATGGACATCTTTCAGGCAGTTTTGTATTGTATTGTTCTGATTATTAGACAGTATGGGATCTTTCCTTCACCACACACACTTGCACAGCGACTGTTCTCCTGAGATGTTAGGATTTGTAGTCCCATGAATCTGTGATATGTTTTATTTGGTTAGTGAGCTGGAGGAGGATGCATTTTCTATGTGTCTGTTCTGAAAACCACTCTCCTTGGAGCCTGTAAAACTGATTTCATAATTGAAAGAAAGTTAATGCCTGTTTAGTGTGCTTTTTTACAATCTGAACCTTCAGCATGAAAAGTGTTGCAGTGTAGGTGTATTCCAGTTTGTTGCACACATTGTAGGCATGTGCAGTAATGAAGTGAAATAATAAACTACAGAAAAAGAGCTTTGAGTCTCACTTTAAGCTTTGTATTTTTCTGTTGCATCTTCATAGTAATTGCAAAGGTATTAAAATATTTACTATCTTCATTACCACATAGCCCAGTTCACTGAAGTACTTCTGTAGATTTAATTCCAGCCTTTCCAGCAGATTTTTTTGAGTTAGTAAAGTTAATCATAACTTCAGAATGCAGCAACAGTGTTCTTCCTGATTGTAGGTTTGAGAAGACACTGATTAAAAAAATCTTATTCTGTCTCTTGGATAATACCTTTAATTGCTGTTAATACTGTCCTATGCATACCCACTTTTAATCAGTATCAGTAATTGTAGTGATTTAAAACATCTCATGCAGAAAAACCTGTGTTTTCTAATAGTATTTGTACTGCTCTCAGTTAAAAAGAATTTCATGATCCATATGTTATTAATTGACTCTCCTTAAATTGCATGAAGTAACAAAAAAAAAGTTGAATAATGCTAAGACATGAACAGTTAGCCATGTCTCTGGCAATAGAAGTGCTTTTGACATGTGGAGAAAGGGGTACTGGAGACAGGTGCTTATCTATGGCTCAGCTTCAACAAAAAACAAAAGCCCCATGACTCAGTTTTGGGAAGAACTGGACAACAAGCCGAGACTGTCTGCTTGTAACTGCAAGCTGCTACCAGACAGGTCTTCGCTCCGAGATGCTGTCTCTGGCAGCTGGCCTCTGTGATGGGCTCTTCGGTTATGCTCAGGTCTTCCTCCTCCCAGCTCACTGTGCTCCTTCCTCCTGTTGCTGCTTCTCTCTCATCTTCCACCTACTTGCATCCCTCTGTGCTGCATCCCTGGGCTGCTGCCATAGCTCTTGTGTCCTGCTGGTTCAGCTGTTTGATGCCATGTGGTTGCTTCCCACAGGTATCCTAAGTACAGGGCAGTCATTTCCACGTGCTCGTTACATTTTTCTGAGGCATACTTAGTCCTGTTAGAAAAGTGCTTAAGAATTTCACTGATAGTTAAGAACTTTTTTATGGATTTCTGATCTAATTTTCTAGCAGTTTGTTTTTGAGGCAGTGCTGTGCCTTTGGTTGAAAGGAACAGCTCCCATTTCCCTGCATGTAAAATCTCCCTTCTATATTTCACACTCCACAATTGTTCTCCTTTGTCCTTTGTTTTGCTAAACAAACACAGATTTTTGGGGCTGAAATGTGTTTTTTAAAATATACCTCTCTTGAACGTGAATGACCAGATCTATTCTGTATTCCACATGAGTCTTTCCAGGACATTATATAGTGTGTTTGGTATTTTCCTATCTTGACTGCAAGTGCTTCTTGTCACATATTGTTAGGCCATACTTGCTTTGCATGCTGGCTGTATGCTGTTGGTGACCCTGCAATCAGCTGGTTCCTGATCCATCTGCTCCCCTCTCTTTCAGCAAGTGAAAGAAATGTAAATTAAAAATAACTTTAAACTCTCCTCCAGCTTCATAGTTACTGATATAGATGATTTGTTTTGTACCTCTCACCTCTGTAAATAGGTCAGTCTTTTCCAGTAAAACTAATCATACTCCAAGTAGCAGATAAAGGACCACTTATCTCAAGATCAGATAACATAAATATACTTACTCTTCTCCTGTCTAGAAAATCTACCATCTTATCAAATATGTTAGGATAGTTTGATGTGGTCTACCACCAGTGTGTGATTTAGCTCATTTTCATTTACTTCTGCCTTTAATTATCCTTTTTTCAATATTCTTGAGAAAAGGGTAATAGTGCTGTTCACTCTTTCTTCTCTTCCTAAATAGAGATGGTGCATTTTGTCTGTTCCAGGCTCTCCTGACTGGATAGGGCAATCAGAAAGTACATGTAATGAAGTTCTTGTTTCTTTCAGAACTGCTGGACAGAGGTTATGTAGAGGTTACATTTCTTCCTTGAGTTCCTAACATTATTTTCTTTTAAAAAGAAAATCCCTTCACCCCAAATATCTTCCTGACAAAGTACTGTCTCATTATCTGTCTTTTTATCTAGGTACTTTTGTAAAAATACTTCTAATATCAGAGGTGGCTGTCATGCAAGCAGCTGGTTGATCCAGCTGAAAACGTTTATTTTTACAGAGATAATTTTCAGCAAAGAAGCAAGATTATCTTCCCTGGAAGGCAGGAAACAGGTAGCTGGGGAGTACGTGAGACCAGGGCCAAACTTCTCCTTTTAGCTGCAGCTAAACAGGACAGTGCATACCGTCACTGGAGATGATGAAATAGTTCAACTTGTAAATATTTTGGCAAAGTTAATTTCCCTTGGGAACAAGTCTTCTCAAATTAATAAACATGTGTTTGTGCACTGGTCACAAAATTCTTCAGTCTGGTCAATCGGAGGTCCTCAAGAAAAGCTACTCTCTTCGTGTTTGCAGTGACCTGCATGCTCGTGGATCTGATGCCACCTCCTGGTTCTTAGCAGTACTTCTCTGCATGCTCACAAACGATGCGCAAATACTAGCCCTAGTTTTAAAAGGATTGTTTGTAGAGTACATGGCTTCAGGCAGCACAGATTCCTTGCAGACCAGGTCACACTCTCTAGATGTTATAGCTGCGCATAGTCTGGAGGGGCCAGCTTGCAAAAGGGGGCCCTAGGATGGTCATGAATAGAAAATCTTTTTAACGAGAAAGCCTATGGAAGGGATTACTCTATCACTGTGATTGCAGTGGATTTGGCCTGGTAGCTGAAGAGGACTTCTCTGATCCTATGTGCCTGTAGTCCTGCTTATTGTGCTATATGGATACGGTGAGACAATTATTTGTTATTTTTATAGTTTCTTTTTGTTATTTTTAAAGACTTGTGGACCCTTGTGGGCACAGCAGTGTGGAAGCCAATACTATGCAACAGGAGTCTGTTCTGAGATCAGTCCAAGTTTCCAGATCCTAAGAAGCTTTTCTCCTGCTGTTCAAAGTAAGGCAATCTGTGTGAAACAAATTCAATTAAAAAAAATAAATAAATCAATAAATGTTGTGTTGGGGATTCTTAATTTGGGATTTTTTAAAAAATGTATATGCAAAAAGCAAAATCCTATGATACGCACCCTAAGGACTAGCAAATTGTGACCCAATGCGAATATGAATATGGACTCACTTCTCTGAATTCAGAGGCGTTGCACCAGTGCAATGAATGCTCAGGACTCTATAATAGAGTCCGCATTCTGGCAAAACCTTCCTGGTCTGAAGTGTTGCCTATGTGAGACCTAAATATGCACCTCTAGATTTAGCCAAAGAGTTATAAGTATATTGATACTGGCAGTGAATTTAATCTTCACTATTTGTTTTTGGTTTAGAGTGTTCCTCTGTCATAGATGTTGTGGTGGTTTGTGATGAATCAAACAGCATTTATCCCTGGGATGCAGTGCGGGCATTTTTGAAAAAATTTGTACAAGGCTTGGACATAGGCCTTAACAAAACCCAGGTAAGTCAAAGATGTCTTTGAGAAAACCCAGGGGAAGAAAAAAAAAAAAAAAGGGGATGGGTTTTAATTAGCAATTTTAAAGGAAACCAAGTATACTTTAGCCTAACTGCAGTACCTCCCCCAAAGCCACAGATTATGCACTTGTCTTCTATCTTACCATATTGGGTTTTTTACCTCACAGCTAACCTATTTCAAAAGGGATTAGTAATTTGATTCAAAATATAAACCAACTGAAATGGAAGTCTAGGTTATATGTAGTGCAGTCAGATCTCTTTCATGCATTAGATGTAAAAGAAATGAAAATGTAGTCTGTGGGGATGTGGTAACAGTAGAACAGATTTTTATTTGGGAAAATTTTGTTGCTTTTTATAAAAAACATTTTATGTCTTTACAGTTGTCCATTTTCCATAAACAATTCTGGGCACAAAGACTGGGGCACTGGAAATCTCTCTCCCAAAGGCTGCCTTCTTCCTTGGGCGACTTTGGAAGTGAGGTGCTTAAAAGCTAGGCTTCCTGCTCAGTCCTTTCTGAACCTCTAGCATCTTCTCTTTTTTTCTTTCATACTAAATATACATCTTACCATATGTCTTTAGCTTCACTTGTATTCAAAATAAATAGGGTTTGCAGTGCTGTCAAGTAACTAACCTTTAGGATTTCCTTAGAAGAGATCAGATTGAGGTTCTGTCAGCTTGTAGAATTTTTGCTATTTTTCCATTTTTCCCAGAGCTCCCTGTGTTATTGCTATCCATCAGCTCTTCCAGAAGTAACCAAGCACATATTTAATGCCTACTATTTCAGATTGTTTGCATTAATGTATTGTAGTCCATGATAAATGGCATAAGGTACAAGAGCATTTTAACTTTCTTTGCTTTTCAAATGTGTTAATATTAATTGGTTTTCTATGTGTTGAAAGAAAATTATAACCCTGTGTGCATCTGCAGATCTTCTGCTGCAACTTGACAAATAAGTAAGCATCATGATTCTGTGTAACCAATTGTAACGCATGATAATCTAACATAATTTCTTTATTACATAGGTGGGTTTAATTCAGTATGCTAATGATCCCCGTGTAGTGTTCAACTTGAATACATACCAAACAAAGGATGACGTTGTTAAAGCAATGGAGGGAACGTATCAGAAGGGAGGAGATCTGACTAATACTTTCAAAGCCATTGACAATGCAAGGTAAAGCGCATTGATGATTACTGTGCAACTATTGTAACTTACCTTATGAGGCAATGGGCACATCCTGAATTTCATTCCCACTGGGAGTGAGTGTGTTCGGAGCCTCTGAGGAGGTTGCCAGCGCCAGGCAGAATCCTTCAAGTCCATTTACAGTGCCCTGTGCAGAACATTACAGGGATACATAAACTAGACTTGCTGAAAAGCGTGTCTTTAACCATTGGGTTAAACTCTAGACTAAAGTAGTTCTGCTACCCAACAGAACTGTTTGGGCTGTCATAGATGTCTAAACATGATAATGAATCGAACATAATGGACAAGATTTTAGGAAAGATACAAAACCATTGAAAGAAGTAAAGTTTATCCAGGTATTCTGTGGGACAGGTAACATTCATGTTTGCAGGTCAGGCTTTGGTTGTTTGCAGAGAAAATAAAATCTCGTCTGTTGTCAGTTTGTCACTGCAGCACCAGCAGCATGAAAAATAGGAAAAACTCAAACCAATGGACCGTGGCTCTCAATACATGGACAAAGCTGGTCTGTTTCTCGATAGGAAGATGTTATTTTGCAGTTGAATCAAGGACAGGACTGCAGGCCAAAATGCATGCTGAATCAAATGACCTTGAAAATCATCTTTAAGGACAGACTCAGCCTTCAGTGGAGTCGATACTTGCAGTAGTATTGAAGAACCTATTATAAATACTCTTCCTCTTTTGTTTTAACTTGGTGGAGCCAATTCCTAGCTACTCTGGTGTTACAAAGCATTAATAGCTCTGACAAAAACCCCTTTTTTTTTAGAAACATTTGTACAAAAAAAATACAAAAAAATTTTCCCTGGAATGTACATTTCTATCAGAAATACCATTCAGTTCTGCTTGGGGTTTCTTTTCTGCTTCCTTGATTACATTTCTGATCGCTCTTTGAGCAGTGCTTTGAGAAGAAGCTATATCAGGAGCATAATTGAAAATTCTCATTGCAGATTGTTAATTTCCAAATAAAAAGCACTACAGATGCCCCTTGTCCTAAGTCAGTGATAGACATATTCTTTTCAGTATATATACCGAATTCCATCTATTACAAATTGACATGTGATAAATCCACTTTTTATAACAGACAGTACGCCTTCTCACCTGAATCGGGAGGACGTCCAATGGCCACAAAAGTAATGGTTGTTGTGACGGATGGTGAATCACACGATGGCTCCAACTTGAAAACAGTGATAGGTAAATGCAATGAAGACAATATAACCAGATTTGGCATTGCTGTAAGTAATATTATAATTAAACATATTGCAATTCTTGAAAGATCATTTTGTTGTGTATGTGTGGAAGTGCATGTTCTGTATATAACCTGTATATAATGCCTGCGTTGTTACACTGGTGAGACTGAAACTAGGTGAAATTAATCTTTAAGAACTAGTGAAATATTGGTGGTCTTTAACTTTGTGAAAAAGCAAAACCAATATTACCTGAGCAACTTCAGTGGTTTTCTCCTTTGCCTTGGTTTATATATTTTTCCTATCTGAACAACAGTTCCTTGTGTAGGAATACAGTCCGATAAGTAGTTCAATAATATGAATGGAGATAATTTTTTTTTTTAAAATATGTAGACTATTTACTCTTTACTCAAACAATAGAGAAGGAAATGAAGTAAAAAAGTAACACCGTAATTTATTTCTTTCTTCTTATTTTGTTATTTTTTTACCCAAGGTTTTGGGATACTTAATCAGGCATGAACTTGATACTAAAAACTTAATTAAAGAAATCAAAGGAATTGCTAGCCATCCAACAGAAAAGTATTTCTTTAATGTGTCATCTGAGGCTGCACTACTGGAAGAAGCAGGAACACTTGGAGAGCGCATTTTTAGTATAGAAGGTAAAATACTCAATGTCTCTGAAAAATTAGATCAGATTCTCCCAGCTGATGAGCTAAGGATTTTATTTGACTTCGCTTTAGTGTAGTACTGTGAAAATGAGGGGCAGCTGGAGCTGCAGGCTGCTCCCTGTTTCCCAGGAAAATTCTGGTTTGCACAGCTGCCCCACCCCTAGTCAGCCTGAGCTTCAAGTTAGTTTCTGCAGTTTGTGAGAAGTATTCCCACAGTTGGTGAAAATTTCAGTCAAGTCTTGGGCTTCAGTCATCCATTGGTGGCTTGTCCATATTTATCCAAATGCATTCAGAGCTATTAGCACTGAAGGAGTAAAGGTATCTTTATGCTTGTCAGATTCACCTATGGTTTTCTGTTAATGCTAAGCAACTGTGAATTTGAAAAGCAAATCAGACTTTGGTTACTGATTACAGATTTGAAAAGCTACAGTAAAGCCATCTGTGTGGCATCTGTAGGGGCAACTCAGAGGTATTTCATTCCCCAAAAGCCAGCTTTTTAAAGTCAAATTTAAAGTATGCTTGAGACTCTTGTGACCTGCCCTCAGCCCTCCCTAAGGAGCTTTTCATGGCTGCAGCCTTCCTGTGCTCAGGATGAAATCTTCCCTTCTCTTTCACCTCCATCTGTTCTTTCCCAGACCCATGGTGCTAATCATGTCGGGGGATCAGGTGAGCGTCCACCTCTTGGTTTTTTTTGTATTCCCATTGCTTTCCTGTTACCTAAGTCCTATCTGCCTAGGTTAGGAAATATTCCTGCACATCACAGTATTCCTCAAGACAATTACAATAGTTTTGTAAGTCCTACATGATAATAAAAACTCATTTGAAAGTTATGTATATAGAGTTATTAAAGCTGCTAATTGCAGTGTATTATTAGTGCTTCCTAGGAAACATAAAAAGAGATTAGCCACAGCAACAACATTATGCAGAATTATTCAAGACATCTTTATCATCATCTTCTGCCTTTTTTTGGAAGAGACTCAATATCATGGCTTCATCTTACCAATTTGCCATTAAATCCACCAAATATTCTACCGTTTATTAGCTCTCAGACTTTGATTGTAAATGTTGGAAATGTTTTAGCAGACTTGGTGGATTTGGGAAAGATAACATACAGTCTCTGTATAGATATGCTCAGAGGCAGCAATATTGAGTATCTTGTGTGGTTCTATAGGGTTAACCATATGGGAATATTTGTTTTACCAGGTACAGATCAAGGTGATACATTCCAAATGGAAATGTCACAGGTGGGCTTCAGTGCATATTATTCACAAAAAAAGGTATGTGAATTTAATTATTTAATGATACAAAGAGATGTAATTACATAAACTTGAATGCTTAGAAGTGCAACAAAATAAAACCAATAAAACACAATGATTGATTTTAAGATTTTTTTTTTTTTTTACAAGCAGGAGAATGTAAAATTATCATATTTTTTGTTTGTTTTAATACTTCAGAAATTACTTCTAATAGATACTGTATATCCCTAAAATGTATAAATACACATTAATAGGTGAAGTTGAATAATAGTTTATTTCATGTAATTATTTTGAGATGTTACTCAAATTACTTCAGTGATTTCTGAGTTCACGTAGCATGAAAAATTTGATTGCTCCAATACTTTGTAGTTGCATAAATTGGAAGAATTGAAACCGTATTGTAAAGCTGGTGTATTTCTAGGCAGTCACCAAGATGTAAATAAATCAAGTCTGAAAAGAATTAATCTAATATTTATAAAGTTAGTAATATTTGTTTAAAGCTTATTTCACTTAGAAAGAATAATAAATCAGATATAATTTTTTTGCTAATCAATTTTAAGATTATCTTGACCAAATAAGTCCTTTCTGTAGAATTCAAGTGTGATTCAAGCAACTTTCAACTGAAAATGCAGAAAGGTTGTTTCTTTCTCATAGCCCTTAAAGATGAATGAAATTATTTTTTTAAAAGTCCTCTGTATTTGCACAAATCGAAGTTTTAATTTACCAAGCACTTGGTGCTAGGAAATGGCAAAAATTAAGAAAGATTTGGTGTTTTCTTCAGGAAAATTACACATACTATTCTTACTGCAGTTTTCTATAACATTGTCTCAGTTCAGTAAAGAATTTTAATAATGTGAATAATAGAAACCATGTTTGGTTTATGTGTAAAAGTCTAAGATTAAGTATTTATTTATTCTATATAAATAGATATTCTGTATAATAAGCCATATTAATTTGGATTTTAGATTTAACTCTTTTCTTAAGGGCATCTCCCCACAATACACTTGAAGAATGAAATTTTGTGTCTTTTTCCATCAGCTTTTGTGTGCTGTTATTGACACTTTTGTGGGCAAAGAGCTTTAGCTTTTTCTTAGTTTTGTTTGTCTGATCTTCAGTCTTCTGAGGATCATGAGTACATGAAAGTATAGACTTGGCAAGCCCAACCCCAGGGTGTACAGGTTTAGGAAATGATCACAGCTTTTAAATAAACCCATTTTATCTTGAGTTGCAGTGTGTGAGGAGCTAAAGAAGTCACTTATCCTCTTACAGTAGAAGGATGATAATCTCTCTTAACAGGGCGATAAAGTCCTGCATGAAAATGGTAACTGTAAGCAGCTCCAGTCAGCTGCTTGCAGTCATTAGACTGTACATCACTGCCTTAAACACAGTGGTGTAGGAAATTATGAATGGTAACTTCAGCTTTGGTCACACTTGTTTTCTGAAATAGATAGCTCTAAAATGTTGGGTTTTATTTTTTAAAGGATGTTCTGCTGCTGGGTGCTGTTGGAGCTTATGACTGGAGTGGAACAGTTGTTCAGGAGTCTTCAGACAGAGTCACCACCTTTCCAAGCCATGTGTTTGAGAAAATTCTACAGGACAGAAATCATAGCTCTTATCTAGGTAAGAGACTGAAGTACAAATCTGGAAATGTATCAAAGAACTTGGGAAAATCTGCTCTAGCCAGGGTCTGTTAAGAACTGATATGAGAATATTAAAAGAATTTTGCATCCAAAAATATTTTATTTACTGGTCAATGTTTCATTGAATTAAATACTTATTATGTTTTTAAAATTCTACTCATATCATACTGACAGTTATGGGTATCTTCTGTTTCAATATTTGTATGTTCTTCCCCAATTACAAGTGGATGAGAAGTTGATTGACTTGCTATCATTTCATCTGTGTTCACTCTTTTCTTGGCCTTATCCAGGTCAGTTTATAGTTTTAGGAATACTGATGCAGATAAACAGAGGTCTACTTATAACCCCTGTATATTTTCTAGTGCATGTTTTTGTGACTCTATAAAGCCACTCAGTTTGTCTTCTGAGTTCATTGAAATTTTTTCTCCAAACCTCCAACATGCCTGCTCTGAAAATTCATCCCTGAATAATGCTACTACACTAAACACCTTAAGACTTTCTTAACCTTGAAGTTATTTAAAGAGATGCTATTTTTGCAAATAAGGTGCTCTTTTTCCCTATGGCTTAGCATTACTTGCATCCAATACAATGAATAAATCTAAACCTCACCTAAAGAACAGTAGCTCTTTTGCGTGGGTGACCTCTTCAGACTTTCTCTTTTTCCCTTTTCTAGAATAATTCTTAAAAGGCAAGGTCATTTACTTTCAGCACTTCTCTACAAGGCACTTTCTAGACTATTTGCCTTAAAGTTTTCAGAGCAAGCAATATTGTTGCCTTTTCTCCCCCTTCATTTCCTTTCCATCTCCTTCTGACCCCACTAAGAGCTCTCCATACCAGGTCTCTTTTACCAGCTTGGTGTGCTGCTAGCACATCACAGCTTGCTAGATTGTCTCCCATTCTGCACTGCACCCTCTCACTTCAAATGGCTGTGTGGTCTGTTAATTGGGAATGTGTGGCCTTAACTTGGCAGAGTAAAATTTTGTTTTGTTCCTGCTTGTTGAACTTCTAGTCTCCAGTGATGTTCGCTCCCTAGAAAAACAGTGACTAAACACAAATCTGAAGTAGACTGGTCTAGGTAATGACCAAGGCATAATCCTTTTAGACTATACTCTCTACATTGTTCTGCAGCTTGCTGAAGACCTGCATATTCTGCCCAATCACTGGGATTTTTCTACTAAGTTTAAACTATAGTCTTTATATAAGATTTTTTTTTTTGTTCTTCTGTTAAAATAGGTATGCTGTAATTAAACCACAGAAATGTAAAATATGTAGTAATGCTAGCTTTATAGTGCTAATAGATGTTTAAAATATTTGCAGGTATTAAAAGATGTTTCCTGAAAGCACATAATGTTAGAATAATGGGAATGAGGATTAAAATGTTCAAAGAAGTTCAAGCAACCTAAGCCCTTCAGCTGACAAGCAATTAATATAGCCTGCTGTATTCAGCCAATACACTGGGCTGTGGTTTGGTGGGCTGTGGGAAAATGCACTGCAAGCTTTGCAGAAGCTAGGTGTTCCTTCCTAGTTTGAAGGCTGGTCCAAATGTTCAGCTCAAGTTTCTTTTATTTCTTCATTCCAAAGATACTTTTTGCACTCTTTTTCCTATCTCCTTCACAAGTATGACATTTTTGTGGTCTACATTTTCCTGAATAGGCTAAACTGTTCTCCATGCTATTCTGCAAACCTGCTTCAGCTTGATCTGTGTGTAATTGTTCTCTCCAAAAGACTATTGAAAATTTTATGCATATGTGACAACTTAACTTCTCGTCTGGAAGCATCATTCTCTGCAACTAACATACCAGATTGACTCATTCTGTCTGCGTTTATGGATAACCAACTGACCACTTGTAGTGAACAGCCTCTCACACATGTTAAATGTTGGCTTCTATCCCCAGGTTATTCTGTTGCTGTTCTCTCAACTCAGAGCTCCATCTATTTTGTTGCTGGTGCACCAAGATCCAACTACACTGGCAGAGTAGTGGTTTATGATGTTGACAGCGATGGTAATATTGCAATTGTGCAGTCCCAAAGAGGCGAGCAGGCACGTATATTTCGGTCATGAATGCAGATTTTTAGGCTTCTGTTTTTATGGACTCAGCAGTAAATTGCAGGGCATTTGTTCTGAAAATTTTTCTTGCAATGCATGTAGAATCCACTTCAACTTTTCTCTGCCATTAGACTATTTCAATGAGGTTAACTGTAACTCAGTATTTTAGGCAGTCATCTAATTAGTGGTGAAAGATAACATACAAATCTAGCTAATGCATCAGTCTGTCAACACTTCTAATTGGGAGAGACTCAGTGAGCTCCACTCTACCTAAGAATTTGTGAAGTAGACTACATCAAAAGAGAAATTTAGATGCTCATTCTCATTTTGACCATTTGGAGAAGAGCAGTGAGTTTAGATGAGTTTGGTTTTGTTTGTTTGTAAGACAGATCTGAGAGTAAATCAGGGATGGGGTAGTTTCATGTGCACAGTTTCATATAAAAAAAAATATACCTCCCATAGCGTATTCTCTGTTTGCATCCTTATTGCTGAGTGATAAAGCCATAGAAGCGGCCACCGGCAGAAACTGGACTCAGGCGAGATGAGGAGAGGGGGTTGCTCTCTGTGTCAGCAACCATCTGGAGTGTATGGAGCCCCACCTGGAGATGGATAAGGAACTAACTGAGAGTTTATGGGTTAGGATTAAAAGGAAGGAAGGGAAAGGGGATGTTACTGTGGGGGTCTGCTACAGGCAGCCAGACCAGGGAGACCGAGGAGATGAGGCCCTCTATATACAGATAGGAGCAGTCTCATGTTCACAAGCCATGGTCCTCATGAGAGACTTCAACCAGCCTGATATCTGTTGGAGGGACAACACAGCAGGGCTTAAACAATCCAGAAGGTTGCTCAAATGCATGGATAACAATTTCCTTCTCCAAGTGGCCGAGGAACCAATGAGGGGAGGTGCCGTGCTGGACCTTGTTCTCACCAACAAGGAGGGGCTGGTGGGGTAGCTGCCTCAGGCAGCCTTGGCTGCAGTGACCATGATATGGTGGAATATGAGATCCTTAGGGCAGTGATGAAGGCGCACTGTAAGGTCACCACTGGATTT